CTGACGTTTCAGAGCATAAACAACATCAAGGGCAGGGTCACACAGTTTTAGGGGTCGATTACGATTGATATTCGCCGAATAATAATGGTCAAGTGAGAAATATCTGATATGAGCCCAAGATGGTGTTGAATAACACCGTGGTATTGTTCTTGCCATTTGCAGATGGAATTCTCTAACCTCCGAAGCCGTAGAGGGTCTTGCCCTGACGCTTCAGAGCATAAACAACATCAAGGGCAGTTACAGTCTTCCTGCGCGCGTGCTCGGTGTAGGTAACTGTATCCTTGATGACACTCTCCAGGAAGACCTTGAGAACGCCCCTGGTCTCCTCGTAAATGAGGCCAGAGATACGCTTCACACCACCACGACGAGCAAGTCTGCGAATCGCAGGCTTTGTGATTCCCTGGATATTGTCGCGCAAGACTTTGCGATGGCGCTTAGCACCACCCTTTCCGAGACCTTTACCGCCTTTTCCTCTACCAGACATATTTTGTTTGAGAAGATTACTGCTGTTTGCTACTGCTTATTTCGTACGAGGGGATAAGCAGTCTGCCATGATGGGGCACATTTTCTGATTAAAAGAGTGACAAAACGCTCTGTCTCAGAAAATATGTGCTCTTCTCCTCGTGAAAAGAAACTTATGCTGCTGATTTTGATGGCGCCAAATAACGCCTTGTAAATATTGGTCATCTGCAAAGAGGTTCTGCCGAAACAGTGGAAATTACTTCGCCGACCGCTTGGCAGCAGGCTTCTTCTTCGTCGCCGCCTTCTTGATTTTCTTGGACGCCGGCTTCTTCGCGGATGCCTTCGAACGGATAGAAGCCTTCTTGGTGCCTGCGGTTTTTTTCGTCTTCGGAGCGGCCGGCTTTCTAGCGGTCTTCTTCGTGGTGGTCTTCTTGGTGGTGGTCTTCTTCGTGGTGGTCTTTTTAGTAGAGGCTTTCTTCGTGGGAGCCTTCTTTTTCAAAGTTGTTGGTTTGGATTTCTTCGCAACCGCGGGTTTCTTCGCGGCAACCCTCTGCCCAGCAGCAAGCTTGTATGACGCCTTCGCTTGAGAGACATGGCCAGAATCTACGAGAGCTTTGAGAGCCTTGTTCAAAGCAGCCTTGTTCTCGACACCAAAGTTTTGCTTAATGAAGCTGAGTATGGCCTGGCGACTCATTTTCTGGAACCCCTTGCATGTGGTGAGGGCCTGCTTGACCATAGCAGAATAGTTGGGATGAGCTCCAGATTTAATGCTAGTTTTGACAGTCATCGCGGAATGCTAATTAAGTCTTTTGTTTGTGCGGCCATTCGGCTAACTATATTATGACTATCAACAACCTAATCGAGGATCCCGATCCTCCTTTCCCCTCGCCCCCCATCTTCCCTCCCGACTCGCCTCCGCGTCCGGTCGATGACACTAAGGGTTTCAACAAGTCTGGTTTACGCGAAGATCGTTCCTGTTGGGAAGGAACCCATGGCAAAGGTGCCCCTGGGGAGGAAGCTATGCCCGACAAATCCGTGAAACTCGGTGCGAAGGGCAAAGGTAAAGACAGGGGAGAGCCGGTTACCCGTAAAACTATCGGGAAATCTGGCACTGTGGTATCTCGTTCGTTTGGACACCGTGGGGACCCGGGTATAAAACCTTGTGGTTTTTCGTGGCATGATTTAGCGGCTGACGACAGCGACGCGGAAATTGAGGCTTGTGATCACTCGTTAGAAAACTATGACTTTGGTGATTACGATCCTATTCCGGCTCTACCTGCCCTTCCGGCTGCTCACACGGTTTCTGTGCATACATCTGTCGTTTCAAATGCCGATGTTATGGAAACTGAGGTCCACTCTTTTAATGGGTCCCCACGGGAGTCTGGTCCAGCGAACCTGGACGAGCTCCTCAACAAGTTCGATGGTGTGCCGGCTAGTTCTTTCCGGCCCTCTGAGGTTTTAGACGCCGTTGTCGGCGCCCTAGAGCTCTTGCCACGAGAGCACCAGGCCAGAGGCCAAAAGGTTCTGCAAGTGCTCACGAGGCACCATTTAACGCTGATTGAGAATGCGGCTCGCTGCACTAACGGGGCGCCATCCCCTGTTCTGGCCCCCCCTCCCCCCCGCACGACGGTGTGCATCGGGGCACCGACCCCTGTTCCGGTACCTCCCCACGAGGCACCGTCCTCTGTTCCGGTCAACCCCTCTGCCCAACCCCCCCGCCCCTGGACGGTTGTCGCAAGCAAAAGACGGCGCCCTAATGGTTCCACACCAGAACATCCGCGCACTATCGCAACACCAGCGGCCCCCAAGGCTGGCAAGGGCAAGGGCAAGGGTAAGGGTTCTACACCCCAAGGTGCCACGAGGGCTGCGTTGGAACGGGCTAAGAAAGCCACCAACAAGAAGTCCGGTGTTGTTGAGCTCCGCTCAGACAACGATGATGTGCCTGACATGACGGCGGCGGAGTTCATGGCCTTCCGTACTCGGGCCCTTGGGCTTCTAAATGGCGCGATCACCATCAGTTCCACCTTCCCGATCAAGGGAGGCATGGGACTAGTCCTCTGCGACGAGGGTCAA